ATAAAAATTTTCCGATGAGTCGTGTGACTAAACTAGGATATAGGAACGCTCTGTTCGAAAGACATTCAACGTTTATTTTAAATGATATGCTGATGTAAATTGAAAATTATAATCATAGTCCAGGCTTTACCAACCTGGAAACAAACAACGAGGTAAAGAAGTATGATGATAATTTATGATATATCACGTTCCTGACATTAATTTTCTTTCAGCAATTGCATATTTCTAAAATAAAAATGAATCATTGCGAGAAGGCACCTGTTCAGTTAATTTTAATAACGAAAGTGATAAGATAACAGAATCGTTTCTTAGGTCTTTTACAGCTAGTGATGGCACAAAGCTAAAAAGTAAAAACTAAAGCACTGCTTATAAGATACCATCTAATCACCCATAATGATTCAGAGCTTTTGAGATTGTTTTTCTCGTATTAAGTCAGAATTAGATAAGCTTCATCTCATGAAGCCCAAGGCGTGTCAGGACATGCCCTCCCATGGCGTACCGACACATATGAGTACCGGTGGCAAATCACCCTCGCAGGGTGCATATTATATATAATTTGTTTCCATTAAGTGGAATCTTATGAAATGCGTCAAATGCCTTGCCTACATATACGAGTACCGGAAGCAAATCACCCTCGCGGGGTGCATATTATATACAATTTGTTTCCACTACGTGGAACATTATGAAATGCTTCTAATGCCTTGCCTACATATACGAGTACCGGCAGCAAATTCACCCTCGCGGGGTGCATATTATATACAATTTGTTTCCACTACGTGGAACCTTATGAAATGACTCTAATGCCTTGCCTACATATACGAGTAACGGTAGCAAACCACCCTCGCAGGGTGCATATTACCAAAACTCTAATGACCGCCCCTCGCGGGGGCATATTATGTATAATTTGCTTCCACCGTATGGAACTCATTATGAATAAAGACATGCCTTCCATGGCTTGCCTACACATACAAGTATCGGTAACAAAATATCGTTGATGGAGGAATATCCTCATCAATCTTATAATCGCCCTTGTGGGGTCATATCACACATAATATATTATTTCCATTACGTGAAGCTCAATATATGTTTTCCTTAGAACATGTTCGCTTATGGAGTTCGTACTATTATGTAAGCACCGGTAACATACGACACTCGAGTGGAGCAAATTATGCATAATTTAACATATAGTCTATTCGTGATTCATAATTTATTTTTGTGACCATGGGGTCTGTAAAAGTGTAAACGATTCGAAACATTAAAAATAAGTAAATTGAAAATATAATAAATGTCGCTTGACATAATTCATTACTTCCATCGCGTGGAAATCCATACATCGACGCAACGCAACATACCCGCTCATGGTTTGCGTACACACATAAGTATCGGCTATAAACTACCCTCTTAATAGACTATAAAGATCGAACATCGAATGTTGACGTACCCCGTTGTGAAGTGCAATGTACGTGGTTTTAAAGGTGTCGCATACTCCGAGGTCTTGGGTTCACCCCGGTGGGGCAAATCATTGTATGATTAAAACAAGCATCTGTGCCTAAGTCTTGGTTGTTAACAAATATTAACTCAAAATCATATCAATCTATGCATCATCATTATGCATTTCTATGCGTTAGCCCATAACACAAGTCTTTCAATGCCTATTATGAGGCTAGGCTAATTGGTGTGAAGTGTTGACTCGATCACTACGGTTGTTCTACCGTAATATAGTTATCGAGGACGTGCTGTAATACATTTCAAAAGAAAAAGGAATATCGAAACAATTAATGTTTGAAAAAATTTAGTGCAGGACAGTTGATAAATTGGTTGCACCACAAATAATTCTTAAATAAATTTAATGGTGTCGCATGCCATTCAAAAGCTTGTTTATCTAAATCCAATATATATCAAGCTCCAATCTCAAGTGCAGTACACTATAACTATGTAAAGAATTCTAAGTTTTCTGCAATTTAAGGACTATCTGCCAGATAGATAGATGATAACATATTTTCTCTTGAAAATAACAAAAGTAAACCAAATGGGTTGCTCACTCTTTTGATCGGGTAATGAGAGAAACTTGCAATATTAGAAATGTCGTGTATGAGGTGTCCGAGGTGGCCAACATGACCATTTTGATATATAAGTGGTGCTATGTACTGAAGAAAAATTGCACGATCTACCAAATTCTTGAAAGGTTTTGAAGATCATTGTATGCAATTATCCACTTTATGTTATTTTTAGTAAAAAATACTGAAAACTGTTTTTAATATTAAACTTACGCTTTCTAACCTTGCCACGACTGTCTGCAATAAATATACTTCAAACCCTACGCATAGTACATGCACACTTCATGTAAGCTGTGTAAATCTTATAAATAACTAAATCTTTATTGAGTATTAAGCAATACATATAAATGACTCAGATCTAAGAACTGAAAAACAAAAGGAAAAATTACAATCAATTATAGATTCCAGGATGGCAAATGAATTTCATAAAATCTGGTCTGAACTTCGTAATAGCATAATTTATCACGGCAACCCTGCAACAATATAAAAACTATACCTGAGAATTTCGTTGTAAAAGCGTAAAACTTCAGAAGTTGATCGGTTTCAACATGTTTGTCATTCCATGGGGTTGTATCAACCACTCCCTACTTCTAACAATAGTTATAAATTCATTGCAATCGACCTTGCAATCACTTCCTGCCAATCTAATATGAAAGCTTGGCAAGTATAGTTGAAGAATACGGCTCTACCACTTCACTTCAATCTCCACTCCAATCAAATAGATATGCTAGCACTACGCTTTTTATCATATTCTACAAAGAGCGACAGCTCTGTTTTAAACAGCTATGAGATGGCTCGGAAACGCTGGCTTGCGTGGTTGCATTGGTCTAGGAACAAGAATGTTTATCGGAATAATCCCGCAGGTTGTGGACTCGGCTCTGAGCTAACACGATTTGAGACTTATTTTAACACGTGACTTATCTCAAAATAAGTACCATTATTCTAAATAAGTCGGTAGTTTTTACATGATATACCAATGGATGATAAGTCTAATTACCTAAGCTCACCTGTCTTGGCAAACACATAATAATATATTGAAGTCGATTGTTTTAAAGAATCATTTCCTTTTCTTCAATAATGTACTCGTTATATCATAATGATCTGTTTCAAATACCTCGTCATACTAGTTGTTGTTCTGAACGTCATACAGTAATTATGCTGCGTATTATTTGGTTCAGCATGTGGTACACATGACTTGTTCCTACTTCAAATTATTCCGAATCATTGTATTTGTACCGACGAAGATTAGTTTTAGTCTTGTTTTGGTTCAAAACAGGTGAAAGTAGTTAAAGACAATCCGATTGGTGACTTGTATCGAATAATGGTAATCGTAAGTGGGACCCTGATTTTTGGTACTTAAGTAAAAAGTACAGTATTGTAAAATGTAAGACTCAGTATCGAACAACTTTACATCTTTTTCTCGCATTCGTACGCCTTATTTGTGATATACAAAGATACAAATGAATGCTACACAAGGAAGCGTCCGGTCATTAACAAAGCAAATATATATATATAATTCGCGAGTTTTAAGCAAAGGAATATAGCGATCAGCTAATACATATGTTAAAGCAGCTTCGTAAGCGTGAAGAAATTAAAGGCGTGATTCAAATAATATTATTTGATCCATTTTTAAGCTTACTCGTTTCTTTATACAGTTTCATATAATCTGATAAATGTTAATATTTAAATTTATCATAAATTGTCACATTGGCGTATATATCTATGTACGTGGCGATCACCAGGCGATAACAAACAGGTCTCAATATAAAGCTTTCAGTGACGGTCAAGTAGTTTAATAGCAGCATTTTACCTGAAATAAAATGCATATTAAAATACTTACCTCACTGAAAGCTTTCACTTTAAATTCTGCCTGGTGAAATAATTGAGCCAATGATTTAATATGGCGCTGTCAAAACTTAGGAAAACAAAAATGGCCGCGCTTCTGCCAGGTGTCGCCACTGGACCGGATACAAAGTGAATAAAAGTACGGAAACTGATGGTAATTCGACGGGAAACGGAAGTGCTATCTCAATATAAAGCTTTCAGTGAGGTAAGTATTTTAATATGCATTTTATTTCAGGTAAAATGCTGCTATTAATCGTATCTTTATTTGGCCTTGTTTTAAAGTTTAATGTTTCAGGAAGTTTTTAAAAGCACTTTGACTCCAAATACCCCCATTTGCATTTTTTTTGATACTTTGAAAATTTGTGTGTGAGCTGAGCTCAAATCGTAATTTTGAACTTTCGAACAAATTCTAAGTAAATTCTGCAATGCCTAGATAAACCATAAGTTTTAGGGTGCTAGGTTAGACTATGTTTGTCAGTTTTCACAGAAAAACTGAACCAGAAACGTCCAACAGAATGAGAAAAAAATCGAAAACTGATGTTACGTGAAAATTACTAAAAAATAATTAAAAAAAATTATAACTCGAAAACTACGCAAAATCATAAAGTATCTAAATTTTACGCTTGAACGTCAACTCCCCGGCCAACCAGTATAACACATTTTTATCACGCTCAATTGTCAAATTTGTATGGAGATTGATAGTTAGGCGCGATAAAAAACGTGATATAATGTAAATTGTGGTGCTTATGCTACAGGGACTGGCATTGATGGATATATCTGCGATCATAGATATAAGTATTGGACGCCGTAACTTTTGTCTTCACCTATCCTCTGCGAAACCGAAGCAAATTTTACAAAACAATTAAGGGGGGTCAGGGTGGAAGGGTGTTGAGGGAAGGGGGTAGAAGGAACCCCTCGATCTCACCTCACACACTGCAGAATGTTGAACTAACGTGACATAACGTCATATAACGTGACTCGTGACATGACGTCACACTTTTTCTTTTATCACGTCCAAAATCAGCTACATACCTGGAACTCAGTGTCGGTGTGTATGAGCATATCGGCGAGTATTTCGCCGGTGTCCGCGTCGGTGACGAGGATCTTGGGCGAGTACATCTCTTGGTCGAACAACACTTGAATGTTTGCGTTGTCACACGTGGAGGTAGTTGAGCCTTGTTGGATCAACGCCGCGCCGTCGCACGAATAGTATGGTGCTGATTCTTCTTCTTCCTATGAAAAATTAATAAATAAATCATAATTTGTGTTCGTTTAGATAGTTGTAACAACATCATTATAAGTCCAGCCCTCAATATATGGCCATTGTTGTGTATACTATAAGTCAATGTGACGTAATTTATTGAAATCTATAGTAAAACCCAAGTATGCATTTTATTCTCAAGAAATAGTAATAAAGATTTATTTTTAAATTCCTTTCATTCTATTTAATATGCCAACAATGATACCAAATTATCATACAATATTTTATTAGGTGGTACACCACAAACATCTTCAACCATACATCATCTTGCATATTGAGCAACAGTACAACATTGATTAACTTACCTCATTATAATAACTGTCATAATCTTCATTGTAATCATAGCCGTTATCTTCCTCCTGTTCTTCATCTTCGGCTGCTTCCTCAAAGTGTACCTGTCTGGAAACTTCAGGGGCTTCGGTGGATTGCGTAGTCTCACCGTTGGGTTTTGTTTCAGTCTTCAAATTGAAAAATGCCTGGGTCAAAGTTGGAGATTGTGCGTGTTGCTCCGCTTTGTCCGACATTGCTTTGTCTGCGCGAGCGCTGTCCTGTAAATGCTTGGGCAACCTCAGGGGTGTGACGGTGCTGAAGGCGTTCTCAGTCGAAGCTTTCTCTTCCCTTATCACTTGCGCTGCGGCTGCTTGTAATTTCTGTAATAAATATAGCAATTAGAAGCTGTCCTGCAGCAAGTAAATGTAATTAAGAAGAAAGACAAAAGTTGATGCGGACTTGAATCAGACGGCCAGCGTCTCCTGCTGGCCCGCTGCGAACTTAGCACAGCTACGTACATGTGTCATATGTAATTGTTCTGGAGTTAAAAGTCAAAGAAGCGTTAGCTTCTTTGACTTCAACTCGGACTCCGAAACTCCAACTTACTTACCCGGACACCATCCCGATTTTGTCTCGGAAGCCAGTGGCCAGGTCTACGGACTTGAATCGGACGGCCAGCCTCTCCTGCTGGATCGCTGCGAACTTCGTATAGTTGCGTACATAATACGTTATTGTACTGAAGTTGAAACTGAAGCTTATTACCCTGACACATTCCACGACTTTGTCTCGGAAGCCAGTGGCAAGGTCTACGAACTTGAATCGGACGGCCAGCGTCTCCTGCTGGCCCGCTGCGGACTCCGCATAGTTGCGTACATATTTCATACGTGATTTTTCTGAAGCTCTGAAGGTTACTTACCCGGACACATTCCACGACTTTGTCTCGGAAGCCAGTGGCGAGGTCTACGGACTTGAATCGGACGGCCAGCGTCTCCTGTTCTCCCGCTGCGGACTCTGCGTAGTTGCGGCCAGCCCACGTCCAAGCACGATCCGAGTTCTTCATGGGCAATAATTCTAGATCCATGAACACCAGCATGTTCAACACAGCTTTGTGCACCTAGGAAATATGAAAATTATAGAATTCACCAAGAAATAAACAAACTGTATTCATCATCATCATTGTCCCTACTTCCAGCCTTCCCTTTGCGTAGGGAAATTGGACCATGCCCCACCACGCGGGCTCTGTGCCTGGCAAATGGTGGGTGCCAACTACAGCAGTTGCAGCAGAGACCAACGGCTTGACGTGCCGTCGGAAGCAAGGAAGAGAACGAGATAATAAATTTTTGGTTATCCATCCAATGAAAGGCGACTGCGAAAGTTCTTTCACTTTCACGATCGCAGAACGAACACGCAAACTTAACTAGGGCCGTCGATACAGAAAATAACTGGGGGCATAAAACATTAACCCGCCTTTACCTGTTCCCGCCGAAGCAAGAGCCTAAAAGTCTTCCTTTCAGGGTGGTACAGAACCTTCATCTCCCCTACGCCGCGCTCTTTCCACTCTCGTGTCTTCTCGTCGTATCGGTACAATTTGCATCTTTCACCAAACATTTTTTCCTAAAAACAATAAGAGAACTTTAAAATTTCGTGGGATTAGATCATTCATTACAATCTTAATCATAACTTTTTATTACAAAAATATTATATTGTTCAAATAAATAATTGAATTGGATAAAGTGTTTTACATCTATCGAAACATACGTTATTTTAAAAATTGGAAACAATTTACACTACATATCAGGTGTAGGTAAAGTAGCAATAACGGCCGAACCCAAACGACAGCCCAGACCCACAAAAACAGGAAGTACTACATATAACAGAACTTTACCCTAAATGACGAAGCCAAGCTCGGCTAAGTAATGATACCAAATAGTTGTTCTAATAATACCTCATCCTCTTCTCCCGTTGTGACAACTATTTTATCGGGTAGTGGGACTATGGGCTCATAATGCGGGTCGTATTCTTCGTCGGCACCTGCCGCTGCGTCGCTGCCCGCACCGCTCTGGTTCTGCTGCGCATCGGCCGCTTCTTTTTGGGCTGCTGTAAACAGCTGTTGGCCTGCTCCTTCCCATTGAAAATCAGCTTTTTCTAAAAGAAACAGTAATATCGTGATCAAAGCTTTAAAATAAACTTAATGTTGATATAGATTAAAGAGTGCAACATACTTTGAACGTCGAATCCGGGACCACTAGATGATAATGCTGCAAATGATAAATTGTTGTCCACTTTGAAAGGAACATCTTTTTTGTCTCCAGTAACAACCTTAGGATCGTCAGTCTTTTTAACCGTAGAATCTTGAGTTGCAACATCTGGTTTTTTCTGATCAGAATTTGTGTTTAGCGTCCATGTTGGAGTTTGGTTATTATTGCCAAAAATAGATCTTCCACCACCAAATACTTGTGAGGGATTAGTGTTACCAAGCGTTGTTATTCCACTCGTTCCAAATATGGAGCCTGTAGGTTTTGCTTGATTATTGGTGAGCGCCCCAGGACCAAATAAGGATCCTTGACTACTTCCACTGAACAAGTTTGTAGATGTTTTATCATCACCTCCAAATATAGATTTGAACTCTTGCTTATCTGAATTCCCAGTAGTATTTTCCGCAGTAAAACCAAATACAGATTTATTCATTGAACCCCCTGAGCTAAAGTTGCCAAACAGTGAGTTATTTTTACCAAAAAGTGAATTATTTTGAGCAGCCCCAAATATAGACTTCGGATCTGCACTAGGCTTTTCATCGTCGGGTTTAGCTAATGTGGAACTTAACTTAGGTGGAGCCAAGATACCAGTGCCCTTAGTCGAGGGTGGTGCCTGTGCATCAGTAACACTTGGAGCATTATTTGCTTTATTTTGAGATGACCCAAAAAGAGTTTTTTGTTCCACCAGATTGCTAAAAATGTTAGGTTTTTGACTTAAACTATTTTCCTTGTTTGTGGTATCATTATCTTTTGCATTATTACTATTAGTAGATAGTGGTGAAGTTGATTTTGTATTTGAACCCAGAGATCCTAATGGTGTACGGAACAAAGAAACATCAACGGTTTTATCGAAATTTGCAGGTGTGCCATAAAAGGAATTTAAAGGACTACTAAAAGAAGATGTTGAAGTTTTTACAGGAGTAGTAATAGCTGAAGTTACAGCAGTTGTAGTTACTGATGATTTAGCATTGTCATCTAAGTCGCAACCACGACAACCTTGACAGTTTTCTTTCATTTTGTATGTAAAGAAGTTTTCAGGCAACATTAGTTCTTTAGCTTTTTGTTTGTCTTCTGTGGAGGCTTGTATTTCATTTACAAACACAACATCTTCCTGATCATTATCTTGCTTCTTAATTGTGTCTGATTTAATATCTTTTGTTTTTTCCCCTCTAGCGTTATCAACAGCTTCTTTAAATTCAGTTGCTGTTTCCTTGTTTTTAAATCTCAAACAAAAATGTTGTAAACTCAATTCCCCGTCACTAAAATCATTCGCCGCAAAAAGCCACGTTTTGTCATCTTTTGGTGTATATGTTATTTCAGCAGTTAATTCATGATTTAGACAAATTTTTAAAACTTGTTCCCGGCGCATAAGAACCCTAAAATAAAAAAATAGGGTTAAATAATTTTAATATGACAAATTGAGAGAAATTAAGGGTTAAAGAGTTAATCGCTAGTTTGCTTATATTAATATCGTAACCACGTTACCTCAACTTTCCTGTGTCTTTGTGCTTCAAAATTTTTACAACTCCAATGCCGCGTTCTTTCCATTCACTTGATACAAACCTAAATAACTTAGCTCTGTGACAATACAATACGGTTTCGTTTTCCTCACCAGTCACTACTTCAACCTAAAACATTGTTGTTTATTTAATAAATTAGTAGCAGCAATGTAATTAACATGACTGTTCATATAATTAAAAAAAAGAAATCTAATGTAGTCAAAGCATTATATTCCTACATGGCATAATCAATATACTTACTTTATCTGGCAATGGTATAACAGGGCTGAAATGAATATGGTGTCCTTCATCCTCAGAAGCATATTCATTACCGTCACTTTCGTCTCCTTTCTCGCTTTTTGGTGACTTCACAGAATGTTTTGCTTTAGGTGGAGTTTTAGGCTTAAAAACAAAATCAAAGGTCCCACCAAACTGAGTTTTATGTTGTTCATCTTTTTGTTCGGCGACTTTAGGTGTCACATTTACATCACCTTGATCATTAATCTTGAGAGAAAAGTTAAGCGGACTTTGATTATCGGGTGCTTTAGGTGTTGCAAAAATAATATTACTAGGTAGAGATTTCTGCTCACCAAAAGCAACAACACTAGTCGCGTTATTTGGAGTAGTAGATGGAATACCAAAACTAAACTTATGTGCTCCAGTTCCATCAAAAATAGAACTATTTTGGTTTGTTTGTGGTTGATTTGATTTTGTGGCAACAGCAGAATTTGCAGGAATACCGAAATTAAATTTTTGACCTGTACCGATACACCCAAAAATTGATTTTGAGTCACTAGAAACATCACTTGGATCTTTTGGATTACTACAGGCACTGCATTTTTTACTATCGGCTTCATTCCTGACAAAACATTGTTGACATTCCCAAGATCCTTCTTTAGGTTTAAATTTATCACCCCAACCAGCGGTGCCAGTGCCAGCCATTTCTTTAGGTGTCTGTGTATTAGTTACAGACATTCCAAATTTGAACTTGAATCCTTCATCAGATGTTACTTTTGGTGTTGATTTCACAGCAGCAGTAGAATCCCTTACAGTATTGCATGCAGAACAACTATCAGAAGTAGCTTCATTTCTAATCAAACACTCTTTACATTCCCATGTGCCTGGTTTTGGTTTGAAAGCTTCGCCCCAATTTGAATTTGTAATGACGTTAGAAGTGGTTGTGGGTATGCTGCTTGTTGATGTGTTAGTGGAAATTACTGGTTTTGAATTAGTTTGTGGTTTAGGTTGCTCACAACAAGCACATTTATCAAAGCTTTCTAAATTATTTGTATAACACATATTACAACTCCAGGCTCCAGGTTTAGGCTTAAATTTATCACCAAAACCAATATGAGTGTTTTGTTTGGCCAAGTTATTATCTTCTTTTGCAGCTTTAGTATCATCTTTCATTTTTGACTGTGCTGATTTAACAATTTCCATAAATTCATCACATGTTTGAACTGTTTTAAATCTTAGACAGAATGTCTCGGATATTAATTCTCCATCTGAAAAATCTTTAGCACACCATGTTACTGCCTTGTCCATATTAGGCATTTTCTGGAACGTCATCTCCTTGGAGAGAGCATGGTTACAACAAACTTTCATAATTTGCTCACGCCTCATTAAAAGACGAACTTTTTGAAAATTATCTTTATGTACAAGTAGTTTTATATTACCAAGACCCCGTTCCTTCCACTCTTTTCCATTTGTGTCAAATCTTAATAACTTAGCTCTATGTTCAAACAGAACTATTTCATCTTCTTCACCAGTTTTTTGATCTACTAAAGCAGGCAATGGTATAACTGGTTCAAATTCAACATTTGGTTCAAATTCTTCTACAGTATCAGAAGTATTTAATGTCGATGTTGCGTCCTTCTTTTCAGATGCAGCAGTATTTACAGACTGAGAACTAGTGGTAAAAATATTATTAAAAGGACTACTTGTGTTTGGCTTAAAGCTTAATGTGCTAAAGATATTGGCTTTAGTTACTGATGGTTCTGTAGGTTTACTTTCAGGATTTGGTTGTTCTGTTACAGGTTTAAACGTAGGTGTGCTGCTAAATGTGAAACCACCCACTGTAAATCCAGGTTTATTTGAGTTGATTACACTGAACAAGTCTGAATTATTCTTTGCTGGTGTGTTTTGTTGATCTCGTAACTTATCAACAGTGTTAATTTGTTTATCATCTTCAATTCTATCAATACTAACGTTAGGTGAAGAACATTCTTTACGTGCCTGTTCAAATTTTTCATAAAATTGTGAAGCAATGTCAGCTGTTTTGAATCTTATGCAGAATTTTTCTAATACAACAGTCTCATCAGCGAAATCATTTGCCACCCAAAAGTAAGCTTTGGTTTCATTTTTCATTGGCTTTATTTCCATGTTAGATGTAATTATATGATTTGCACAAATCTTATGAATTTGTTCGCGCCGCATTAACACTCGCACCTTTCCAGTAACATTGTGTTTTAAAAGCTTCATTTCTCCCAGACCTCTTTCTTTCCATTGTTTATCCACAAATCGGAATAATTTCGCTCTAGAACTAAATATAACCGTTTCATCTTCTTCGCCTGTTGTCACTTTAACCTCAGCTGGTAAAGGTATTATGGGTTTAAAATCTGGACAAGGGTCATATTCAACAGAAGTATTACTTCTTTCAGATAATGTTCTGGATTTATTTAGACTAAGATCAGCTGACGTATTTAATACTCCATCTACAACTGTTTTGGAGTTGTCTAACAAATCGCCAGATTTCGAATTGCTAAAGAATGATTCTGTAGTATGGGTTACTGGAGTAAGATTAGAAGTCGCAGCTATCTTAAAAACTGAAGATTGATTCCAGCTGTTATTAGAAATATTTCCTGCATTATTTAAGCCCATCTTGCTATCCGAAGACGGAAAACTAAAGACAGGAGGTGCTATCGCTTTAGTGTCCGTTGTTATCGGCATGGGAATTTGGTAATTATGAGGGCTTCCTTTTATGTGTTTCGATGGAATAGTAACGCTTAAAATAGGAGCGGGTGTGGTAGTGCATGTCGGTAAAGGATCTGAAGAAGTTATAACAACATTTATTGGCAATGATCTGGGAATATCTTTAGGTTCCACTTTAGGAACAGTTTTAGAAGAACTCACTGTGGTAATTGTAGGTGGCATGGATACAGATGATACTGTTGGAATAGATGTCACCGTTGATAGGGAAGGCGCAACTTGTGCTGAAGGTGCAGATACTGTAGGTGCCGCTGGTATGCCGCCTAGCGGTGGTGGTACTAATTGAGCAACATCTAAATACATAGCCTCAGGGGTGGGATAAACTCCCGGATAATTAATTTGGCCTCTACTGGGATCAAATATTGGTGGTGCACCAGGCACCTGGGCTGATTGTCCAAACTGTGTATATTGATTGTACAGATTGTATAAATTCTGATTATACAGTTGATAAGGATTGGGTGGAACTGGAAAAGGTGGTACTAATCTTTGGTTGAACGGAGGCATTACAGGCGGCACAAAGGGTAGCTGAGGGGTAAAGGTTGAAGTACTTTCACTTGTTCTATAATCATCTTCCAAATTGTATAAATCACTTTCGTTAATATTTTGCTCAGAAGAAGTTTTCTTCAACTTGTTTATTTCTTTCTTCATCTCAGCAATTTGTTTCTTTAACTCACCTACATCTTTACATTCATTTCTGCACTCATCTATCTGATCTTTAACTTGATCTACAGATATTTTTAGCAGTTTAAATTGATCTGTAGTATTTTGAATATTGGAATGGATAGTTGTGATAATTTCATTACCTAATTTACGATTTTCTTCAAACCATTGTTTAGTTTCTTGCATAAAATTGTTTATTGTAGTGTCTCGTTTTTGTAAATTTTTTATTTCTGTTTCTATTCTTTCCAAATATCGCTGATCCAATCGAGTATTTTCTAAAATTTGAGAATCAATTGCTGTTCTGTAATTAGTTATATTATTTGCATTTGCTGGTGCTTTTGGTGTAGAGCTGATATTACGAAACGGCGGAAATTTACTACGCATTACTGTATGGTCACTCCCAATCAAAGAAACATTTTCATCTGAAGAATATTTTCCATCTAATTCATTGACAACTGACCCAGATAAATCTGGATCTATTTTATTTATAAGTGAATCCAGTTCTTCTATCAAATCTTGTGTATCAGAAAACAAAGGGTTGTTCTTATGTGTTTCAGAATGTTTCCAACCATCCATAGCTTTATAAGCAGTAGTTCTCGCCTTCAAGAGTAACGAAACATATTTATCACCTTGATTATTTTCATCTATTGCAACTTTTCTATATGTTTGGCTGAGATGATAAAAAGCTTCAGGTGATTTTAGGCCTGATAGCATTCCTATCGCTTTTTCATTTTCAGAATCATTAATATAACTCAGTGCTACCATCAGCTTGCTTTCTTCAATTAAAGAATTCAGTTCTTTAGCACTTAATTCTTTATGTGTGTAATCAAAAATTCTTTTCTCGGGTAATTTGATAACTACTTTGCTTTTTAACTTTTCTAGGAGAGGTATAGCAGAAGAATAATATAAAACAGCTCTTTGTTCATATTTATTCTTGTATTCTGTTTCTGTTGTAAGTTTAGCTTTCTCACTGAAAATTCTACCAAGAACACATAGTAGTTCAGGATCCAAACCATGTGAATCAATACACCTCACCACTTCTATACCTCTACATAATGTTCCACGAATGTCAGTTAATTCTGTTCCCAACTCATTTTGGCTAAATTTGTATGCACAATCCCACCATTTCAATTGAGATATAGTACACATCAGATCTGTTATGTTAGCCGGAAGTACTGCTGGTTTATCAGTACAAACATAATGTGCATTTGGTTTCTGCTGTTTTGTTGTTAAAGCAGAGCAATAAAGAAAAGCTTCAATGTCAATTTTATTCATTGATTCTGGACCAGTATTAGTTGCACTAGGGGTTATAGCATCAAAAATGCTGCACTTGAAATGAGCAAAATTTTTGTAACATAACAATACCCACACAAAATGATGTAGAGAGTTGGGATATTCCATTAGAGCTTCATCATCCAAAACTTCTACTTCAATTTTCCTAGGAAGTTTCAAAGTAGGTGTAGTATATGCACCAGATGTAACAAAATGAGATGATTTTATCCTGGCCAAATGTGGTCTGGAAGTAAATAGTTTTTCATATATTTTATCTCTCCAGTGGGTTCCTGAACAGCATTGTGAAATTTGATCAATATAAGACTGACTTTTATCTTGACTCTGTGATAATAAATAATGTCCAGCCTGTGAACATCGGTATACACTTTCCAAGTACCAACGGCGTGCTGCCAACTGTTGCTTTTCAGGAGCTTGAAATAACCAATTTACTTTGGTATTATTAGATCCTATGTGCCAGGCCATTAACATTAAAGGAGCTGAAAATTTAGTAGCAATATGCCAATTTAACTGATCTTTCTTTGCTCTTTTTAATAAAAATGTGGCTGCATGAAATAAGAATTGGCCTCTGTGATGTTGCAACAAGTTGGCATGAAATTCTCCAAAACCTGGTGTAGCTCCAGCTTTAGATACATTTTCAATATCCTGATCATAAAGGAATAAAAGTTCATTGGCCTCAATCAAACTTTTAGAAGAGCCTGGCGTGTCAGTTAAGCTCAAAATACACATATGTTCTCTGACTGTTAACAGGAGTAATTGAAATAGCCAATCTTTGAAATCATGGGAATTATGTTTCAGAAGTTCGGCTAAACTTTCATACCATGCATAATTACTACGAAAAGTCTTCTCAGCAAATTCAACATTACAACTATGATTAATGGCTTCCGTAATTTGATTGGTATGAATGTAGTGTTTTAGGAGACGTGCATGAAGTTGGGGATCCTTGGGTCTTATTGTTAATTCAGCAGTTAATAAATCAACAAGTGCCCCAGGGTTTGGATTGGAAATAGACATTAGTTTTTCTCGTAACCTAAAAGTTACAGGGTGCCTTGGGAATGTTGCTTCTGCTTTTTCACACCAATACTTTGCACGTCCTGTATCAATGAGGATTTCATCATCAACAAGAAGTTCACAAACTGTAACAAAGTATACATTTTCTGTGTATAAAATATATTTTAGATTGCATTAAATTTTATTAAATTGATTGATTGTGATTAACACACTAAAAGGTGACCATATTCTAACACTAAACTATAAAATTGTTTACGCATAAAGCATTTGCTGTACTTATAGCTTTAGGTTACTCACTATGTTATTATTAAGATAAATATAGGTTCCTAATTCAGAAGTCAATTAATAACAGTAACAGTATACTTTCACTTCTAAAAATAATTTATTTATGGCCAAAGAATGAAATACAAAATGAATCAACACTTTCAATACCTACTCTTGTTGAATTAAACTTAAATAAGTGTGTAAAGTAGTTTACTCTTGAATCATAGCATTTGCAACAGTGCAAAACATTGCGAGACTCATAGAAAATGAAAGATAAGTACTTTAAAGTTTCCAATTAATAACTGTAATCCTTGAATACTTCCTATTTCTATTGTCAGGAAGTCAAAAAGGTGGTTAAAAAATTATAAAATAAATATTACAACTACACTTACTGTCCAAAATAGTACTTGTTTGAGTTGGATCTATATCGAGGGATGTTCTATATTGTTCAAGGGCTTTTTCTTTTTGCCCCAATTTGTGCAAAGCCTGACCAAGAAGCTTATAAGCCGCTGCATTATTATCTTTTTGGGTAAGATATTGCTCGACGTAACGTTGGCAGCTAGCATAATCGCCGACTTCGTAATACAACCGCGCCACGGAGTATGATCGCGTCTTAAACTGAAAATAACGAATCCTGTAAACGCCATAACCCTTGCAAACTGACCGTCAACGAGCTTGAAATAAAAATATTCTTTTCTTACCTCTTTTACCGACAGTTTAGATATTAAATTCTCCACATGTTTATCAACGTCTTTTTTATTTCTATACATTTTCACTGAAATAACAGCACAACAAGTAGGTAACAATTATATTTTTGCACAAGATGAAATCGCGTGGGTAAAAGATCGGCTTTTGGTCTTCGTCATTTTGGTTCAGGGTTGTTAGTATAACCTGCACATTTTCCCATGTGATGTGCTAAATGTTAAAGTGAAATATTTTGTATGGTTTTTGATGTTTGCATGAAAAATTTAAATGTAAAGAATTCTGCATATTTTATTTAATGAAATATATATATATATATATAATAAATGAAATGAAATTTCATATTATATATCAATGGGTGGTAGGTACCTATTAGGCATTGTCCTAATACAACGCGATAACGCGATCATCGCGCGATTAAACGATGCGACCATCGCGTGAACGCGAACTGGGTGTCCTAATAGAAAGCGAATACGGAACGGGTCAGCCCTGCCCCTCTCCCCGCTTCCTATCGACGCGACACGTATCATTAATAGGTTTGTTTGCGCGTTCGCGTGAACTAAGTTCGCGCGAATAGATTTTTAAACATTTTAGTCGCGCGAATGCGTCGTGCGATCACCCTATTAGGACACCTATTCTAGATCAATATGTTTGATCGTCGAATCGTACGATCGTACGGTAAACAAAAACTCGTAAACACGTAGAAAATTACTTATAATAAAAAAAATATGATTTCTAATAATTACCACGAAAAATAAAGTAATTATCATTACTGTATTGTACGAAAATATAAAAACACATCCTTGAAGACTCCAGGAAAGTTGTGGATTAAAGTGCCGAAAGAAATTAACCTACGCAACTTTATTACACTTATTCTTAAGTTGTATCAGTTTTATGTTTATTACTACAATGGTGTCGATTCTGGCAGGATTCTCTAAACATAAAACTAAATTTGACATCAGCCTGTCCTTTTCAGTCTGTATAGAGAATGACAGAGATACACTGTTGTCAAATTTAACTTTAGCTTTAGAGAATCATGCCAGAATCGACACCATTGTAATAATAAATGCACTGTACTTACATAGATGCCTTGTCGTTTCTCTGCTCCGCAGAGCAGAAATCGGGGTTTAGTGCAACAAATTCACCAACCATCAATGCGTCAATTCTTGGCAGATTTGTGATTTCTGCTTTCACAAAGCCGGCATCCATAATTTGTTTAGTCAAAAAAAACTAAGTTTACTGTTTTTTTCTTTCCTAAAGTTAAAAGTGTTTTAAGATAAATTTAGTCAGACGAAAGAATCCACCTACAGTAACACGCGAATGACATTTAGTTGTTTACCACAAGAGACGTCAAAATCATGGCGAAAGTGGCGAACAGCGTTTTTAGTGTTTAAAAAATATAGACTAAAAAATATTTTTAAAATTAAATTTCTACAGCAATCTTCTGCTTTTATGAAGTGAAATCGATATATTAAGGTTCCTTAGACTAAACACTTTAAGAAATAAACATTTATTTAATACAATTCGACATGAGTAAACTAGCCTATTGGACTATATTTCACTGTACACTTCAGTGAAATATTTTGCGCACATCAATAAATCTTTACTTAAGCTGAATTACAAAAAAAGGAACTGTTCCAGTCCAGCATACGAAAGAACATGACATGTACAAAGTAGTTTGAAGTACGAGATTGCACAGACAAATGAGTAATAATATTTAATCCTAACAATGAACTTATGTAAGTGGCTATCAGTAGTATAAAATAAATGTGATGCTTCAATAAGTCACGCGCTACAGCATCAACTTAAGACAATCTATAAAATTAGATGATTTTTTTAAAGTGTGGCCGCATTGTGTTGTGTGTGTCTTTCATTGATATATGATATTAATGAGGCTATACATGACATGAACTTTCCCATAATTCATGGTAAAATGAAAAAATACTAGCAACATTGTTGCAAATACGTTACGTTTAATTTTGTTTTTTATTCTCCTAAAATAAGAGATGGCAAAGAAAACTAAAACCCTATCGTATTTGATTTGGTTGGCCAAAGTTTTACATTGAGAATCAAAATCACTTAGAAAGTTAAAAATATAGCACGATTATTATAATTAATCTTTATATTTCAGGCTATCTTCATGTTTTATGGGTCATACTATTGGAAAGAATTTATATGCCTTAGTTCTTTATCATCACTTAATAAGTATCCCGTTTTGTCTTGTTAGTCCTTCTTGCTAACTGCTTTGACAGATAGAAATATTACCCTGTGCATATTAAGGTGTCGTGATGTGTTGTGACACGCCAGAAGAACGTCGGTTTCACACATTTACTATGTTTAGAAACATATTTACGTGTAGTGTCGTGTCGAAGCTCTAACCTTTTTTTCTAACCCAAAATAAATCTATGAAATCGGCATGCATGACACCCCACGACACGTTAATATACACAAGGCTTTAATCACCGAGTTAATTAGTGATTCACTACTGTTTTACTATAATTCTGTATAGAGAATGATAAGAATACACTTGGATACGATTCTGGCATGAATCACTAAACCTAAAATTAAATTTGACAACAGTGCATCCTTGTCATTCTCTATACAAAATGAAAAGGAGTGATAAATGCTTAGTTTTAAGTTTAGATAATTATGCCAGTATCGACACCTCTGTAAATGTGAAATGAATATAGTCTGCCAATACAGTCATGAAAAAAAGGAGGTCGCTACCGTCGCTTACATGGTATCCCCGTTATACATTGACTAAAACGATTTAATATTTGTAAAAATAAGTTTAATTTTATCTTTCTAGAGCATATACCAATGGAGATGGCATGGGCGGGCTAACTCCTTTCGCTAAAGTACGTGGTCACTCGACCAGGTGCGTTATATAATACTAGTTCACACGCCACCGCTATCATTTTGGATCGTTCCGTATGGCAAGTCGAAGCTTCAACATTTATAATATTTTGTTGTCTTCTCTTGCAAAAACTGATCTGCCATTTAATCCTGGGGGAACATGGTGTTTTCTACCATGTACAAGTATTGTAAAATTTTAATAAGTTAGTATTTTAGTTTGAAATGCAATTAAAAGAAAAGGTGCGGAATGATGAACGAATGACAAAAATACTAGGTAGAAATTCATAGTGATGGACGAAAAATGAATGCAATGAACGAATGCTATTTTTATTACTGGAAAACCTTCAACCAGATTTAATTAAGTGCTTCTACCGATATAAACAGCAAATTGATATAACAAATTTACATCTACAATAGTGTCAATTCTGTCACGATTCTCTTAACTTAAATTTGACAACACATTTTACTTACACATAAAGATTTTGGTGCCGATTATGATAGCGTTCTCTAAACCTAAACTTAAATTTCAAACAATATCCTAGTCATTCTCTATACGGAATGAAAAGGAGAGATTGATGTCAAATTTAGTTTTAAGTTTAGGGAATCACGCCAGAATCGACACCAGTATTCATCAAAAATGAACATTCAGTCATTCAGGATCTATAACTTAAGCAAACAAAGGTGTATCTATTCTGGTATGATCCTCTAAGCTTAAAACTAAATTTACCATCAGTCTTTCCTTTTCATTTTGTATAGCGAATGACTAGGATATTGATGTCGATTCTGGCATAATTCTCTAAAGCTAAACTTAAATTTAACAACAGTGCATCCCTGTCATTCTCTATACAGAATGAAAAGGAGAGACTGATGTTAAATTTAGTTTTAAGTTTAGAGAATCACGCCAGAATTGACACCATTATTGTGAAATTTAAGTTTAGGTTTAGAGAACGCTATCATAATCGGCACCAAAATCTTTATGTGTAAGTATCGATTCTAGCATGCATAATTCAATTCAATAAATTTACCATCTCTGCATTACATTCTGTATAGAGAAAGACAAGGATAAGGATGTAGTCAAAAATTATAGCTTTAGAGAATTATGTCAGAATCGACACCATAATGAACTACCTTTTATTTTGTTTGTTTGTCTATCGGTGTATTTGTTTATTGGCAATACATTGATGTAAACCGCGTATAAGTAGAAGAAAGTAAATCAAATTAATTAGTTATCAGTTGTCCACATCGAGCGACATTTATAACCTTGGTAATTGGTATGGTTGAAGTATAACTTTTTTTAAATGTTAAATTAAGAGGTAAATGCCATCACACGAGGCCCTAGATTTCATTTAGTTGCACCGTGATTATTATCGCGTCGCGAAAAAAATAACGATTACGATATACTCTACGAACGTGTGTTCATGGGTGTTACAATTCGGATTTTTCTATAGTCCAAATAAAAACTTAGATTATTAAGACTGTGTATCAAAACGAATTTTAGGTTTTTTAGACAAATAAGATTATTTTCGCCATAATTCTTCTTTCTTTCTATTCTTACGTTTTAGATTTTTTTATCAGGGTTTGTTTTATATGTAGTAGAGTTAGACATGGGCGTTTTTGGTTTTGAACGCAAACGGATATTTATCGGATTTCAGATTTCAAAATCGATTTTAAAATCCGTTTTTAGATATTCGATTTCAGATGTGCCGAACTAAGCCAATTCACTAGTTTGTGATATGATTTGGTTTTATTAGCTAACGACAATCACAAACAATTAATTGTACGAAGCAAGGATACTCGTAGATTTGCGCGATTTTCCTTTATGCTTTAAATCTAGGCTTAGGCAAGAGTATATATTCTGTGGCTTAGGACTAGCAGAAAAGTTATCTTTACGGATAAGAGTAAAACTTTTGCGGCGCATTTAAAAATCGGCTTATGTTAAATGATTTCTTTTTACATATTTTTTTAGTATTTTTTTTTGGTTTTTCTGTTTGTTTTTATTATTTTTCAAACCATTTACAAAATCAAACCTAAGTACTTCAGGTTAGCGTTCAAAAAAATGTCAGTTGCTCGACTTTTGATGTTTTTAGACATCTTTTTTCAGTAATAAATAATCCCGTATTAGAGAAGAACAATAGATTTCCGTAAACAGCAAACCGAAATCGGACTTCCGAGCACGAAATCTGACTTCCGAAAACGAAAGCACGAATTTCGAATCCGATTTACATTTGGATACTTGTGGACTTGTGGTGGTATTAGATCGCTAGCGTTTTGGTTCGGTTAGATTTCTGAAATCGGATTTTCTTGTTGAGAAATCGTTCGGTATCGATTTGTGTTTGAAATCGGATTTTGGATTCGTTTTGATATATCGGACGCATGCCTAAGTAGAGTATTTTATTGCAATCCACAAAAGCAGTACTTAATCATCTGAGACGATATATAATAAGACAGGAGGAAATTGAAAATTTCCAGAAGCTAAAACTGATAAGTACTTTAACGTCGCGGTAAATCACAAAATAGATCTTTTTTCTAGTTATATTTTCTTTAGATCTTTTAAGTTACTATGTGTCTATAGTGTCCATTAGGACTCATAGTTCAAAACCAAAATCAACAAAAACAAAATCTGAAACATTAATAATAATTTAAGAT